ATTAAAAAAAGTTATTATTAGTAAAAAATTTTTTTATAAAAGATATATAATAAAAATTTTTATATTTAAATAAATTCTAATACCTAATAACTTAATTAAATAAAACAAAATTAATAATTTTATTTTGAAAAAATAATTTATTAATATTTATCTAATATATCAAAATTTTCATAATAGACTATATATTAGTTTTAATATTTAAATTATAATAAAAATAAATAATAAATAATTCAATCAATTTATATAAGATATGATTAATTTTATCAAAATATTAAAAAAAAATAGTTTTTCTGATTTAAAACTCTTATCTTATCTTTTAGTCAAATTATTTATATATTTAGAAGAGTCAAATAAAAATATATTTATAAATAATATAAGTTAAAATTATTTTTCTAGCTTAAAAAATTATAAATAAGAAAATATAAGTATAATATATTACTATCTTTTTAATTAATACAGCTCTATATTAATATTTAAATAAATATAAAATAAATAATAATATTATATTATATGATCAATAGAAAAACTTTGTAATTACTCTTAGCTAATTATTATATTATTAATAATATTTTTACTAATAATTATATCTCTTTATCAAATAGAATCTATATAATATTATGATATTAAATTCAAAAATATAGTTAATTAAATAACAGATATAGATGATTTAGATTAAGTTATATATTTTATAGAAGATTTCAAATTTATTAACAAAATAGAGATTAATTATTAAGTATTAAAAATTCTAGAAAATATCTAAAAATTAGTTATATACTTTAATATAATTATGTATAAACAAGAAAAATCATTAGATATATAGAATAAATATAATAATAATAATTATTACTCATAATAAAACAAAAATTATCAAAATAATAATTCTATACTTATAAAATTAGATTAAGTAAAAAGCTATTATAACAAAAATAAAAGAATAACAAATCTAAAAATATATATTATAACTATAAAAAATTTGATTACTTTGTAAAGAATTATTATTCAAAATTAAAAGTCAAGATTGCAAATATTAAAAATTCACAAATTCTTTTAGTAAAATAAAAGAATATAAATTATGATATAATAATGTTTTGTAAAAGATAAAACTGATTCTTTAGTTCAAGTTTCAGATAAAATAATAGATTTTATATATATAGAATATTAGAAAATACTTTTTACTCTTTTATAATAGTTTAGAAAACAATTTGCAATATATTTTTCAAGATGATAATGTTTCAATATATAGGACAAGAGTGATTAATCAATAGAAGAAGGATAATTAGTCTTCCATGATTCACACAGAGCCCAGATTTTAATCCAATTGAACATCTGTGAGATGTTTTGGAAAGAAGGGTTAGGAAACATAAACCTCATCCAAAAAATATTGTGGAATTAATGGCAGTTTTGGAGGCAGAGTGAAATTAAATTAAGCCTGAAATTTTAACAAATTTAGTTGAAAGTTTGCCAAGGAGGGTCCAAGCAGTATTAGATAACTATGGAAATCCAATTAGATTCATGTTTTTCTGAATAAAATGATATAAATTTTTTATAATGTTTGTTTATAAATTGTTAAGTGTACATGTTCACAAGTATCTTAAAAAAATATCGAGAGTTTTGTAGTAAATATACCTACTTTCGAGTGGACTTTATTAAAGACAGCTTTGGATATTATCCATTGTGAGTATTAATCTAATAAATGAGGTACATTATAGAGTAAATGTGTATTATTTTCATAAATAATTTCCTGTGTTGCTGAATATAATAAAAATAACGATAATTTTACGTGCAGTAATTTTAAATCGTATACCAACTATGCAATGTGAACTTATCTAACTACCGATTTACGGTTTTACTATCACCAGCAGATACATACACATGTACCAGTGTTGTGTTAACATTTTGACAGGACTGTGCGACGGAATCATTTATTTATACCCATAAATCCCAAAAATGGCCCATTGTTTTCTTTAGATTGTTACTAAAATTTTCGTCTATCGATTATAATGGAAGAACTAGAGAAAGGCACAACTTTTTTTACACAAGTTCATTGGCAAATTCACCGTCCCAACGTCCATTCTCTAGTTCTTCGTTCGGGTGAATATAAAATCGATAAAATGAATAAAAATTACATAAAATGTTTCTCAATAAATGACAAAAACGTGACGGGAATCTCGTGTTTCGTGCCTTTGGAGACACCTCACAATGTTCCAACTACAGAACTCAGCGAACCAGAAATCCCTTGTTACTTTCTTCCTGAAAACATGGACCTTCCCGAAGGACTGGCTTTGTTCTATACCCACAAGATGAAGCTTCGGTTTCCTTCGAATACCCAAACAGGATTGCACTTCGTTATCGCACCTACGATACGTATGACAAAAAATAACTATGTACAAGCGGTGAAAAACTTGAACTGGCACTTGTGTACCATCAAGGCCGCTGCGAAGATTACTGAGTTGGTCTGCTCTGATGATGATTTGGATGGTGTAGAAGACGCTCGAATGGTAGAATTATACTGGCTCACGGAAATCTGGTACGAAAAGGCAATGGATGCCATGGATCGTATTCACGCCATCGACATTCACACATGGATCGCGCTAGAAAAGCCATCTTTCCAAGATCTTCTTCAGCACGAATCTCGTGCGCATATCGTGTTTTCAGCCCTCATTCGTATGAAAGTTAATAGGTTCGTGACCTATGTGACAGAGCTGATGCATCAGAAAGACATTTTAGGTGAACTGAAGAACGCTTTCGGCAGGGTTTACAATGAAAATCAATTAGTCTCATGTTCCTCTGAGTTGGTTTGAACTAGCTATTTTGAGAAAAATTTATTACTAGTGATGACAACAGTATAAATTATAAGGGTTCATTATATATATTTTAACTTGAAATCGTTAAAAACTGTGTATTTGCATGATATTGTAACAAAAATAAGATAATGCTCACATCGTAACGGTTATTATCACGAGTAATAACGCAGGCAGCATGATCTGTGGTGGTGAAGATGATAATGATGAGACCAATTTTTAATAAGTATGGTTTTTAACGATAAAATTCTATTACACATGTATATATAAAGAAAAGACACGTTAAATGAACTGTTATATAAAATAACAGTTAAATTTAAGGTTAAAGAATATAGACATACATAACTTGTTCGCGATGACACAGATCGTTGAGTAAACCCAAAAAGTCAGTAATTAAGACTTTAGACCAATGACTTTGAAAACATGATTGCGTATAATACTGTCAACTTTTCCAATTTTGTAGAAAAAAGATTTCTATTATTCCATATAGGTAAAAAAAAGGCTGTTGCATATCACAACGATAATGAAACAAGTATACATGTATATGTTAGTGATAGACGGAAAAACAGGTTTACAACTTACACGTATTTAATATCATGTGATTGACAATAAAAAAACCTTATTATGTTCATATACTAGATATTTTTGATTTCTCTCCACGAAAGTTAAAAAAAATTCACAATGAAGAACAGGAAATTTTTTGATGTTGAAACACGATTGGTATTAGATATTTGAAAAATTATGCAAAATTCAGGTTTCTCCAAAAGATCAAATAACAAATTAAACATGTTTTTATATTTATTTCGTATAGAGCTATTTTACACCTTTGGTGTCGATATGTGAAGCCGCCAGACTACTTCCTTCTCGAATCACCCAACGATTGGAGACTTACAAACAAGATTTTCGTAATTACGAAATTTCTCAATGGAGCTCAAAATGAATCAAGTTCAATCATAGAACATATTGCCAAAAAGATTAATGAGAAACGTTTAACGCGGTATTACTTGACTCATCAACCAAAGTTTACAACCTTTAAATCTGATGTCGAAAGGTATAAATAATTTGTACGAGGTATCAACCTATGCACTATTGATTGAAGATACCAACCAGCAGATACTAAAACGGGATCAAGCAACTTTAGCCTGTTACTATTTAGCCGTTGGATCAAGCGAGCATATGAGAAAATGACATGAGTATCTAAATATACCTGACGAAAATGTAAATATTTGAAGGCAAAATCTTCTTGTTAAAATGACACGTGATTTCCCTTGTTGTCAGCTTTTTTGTATAAAAAGCATACGCGTAACCGCTTGGATATTGAAAAGAAGCGCGCAAGTCCTTGTCTTAAAATATGTGTTATGACTCAGTTTTTGAAAATGGCGGGTATTAGCTTTCTTAAAATTTGGAAAAGTTGATTTGCGAGATTTACTACTGATTTTTCTATGCTGTGAATGAATTATAGATGCACGAAATAAATAGATCGATATTGATCGACAAAATTAATCACTAATACGATCTTAAACTAAAAGAGAGTTTAATGATTCTCCTTTTTGTTAACAATTAATGTTAGCTATCCATCTAAATATTATATTATGCAAAGTCAAATTGTCTCAAAAAAGATGATGCACATAGCGAAATTGATGCACTAATGCGTCAAATTATCGTTATTGTCAAAAATCCACGCGATATTAAATTTTCACACGCGTCGTATATTCACACGCATTGTTAGAAACATTGGCTCTCCCGCTAATTAAAATAATAAGGCTATCGTGCACAATTTTAGGTTATTTAAGCCATTGTACTTCATAATTTTTAATTATGACAAAAACCAAGTACGTAACAAAAATTACAATGCAAATTAATCAATCAAATGAAAACGAGGAAACCTTTTGCAAAGATAAGAATCCGATGACAATTTTCAACAGAACCGTTGCTGAGCGTGTCTTGGAACAATCAAAAATAATCGCGACGTTACAGTCTTTCTCAGAATATCGAGAAATTACGACAGAAAATCAACAAACGAATGAACTGATTGAGCAAATTGGTCAACAAGGAATATTATTTCGTAAATTAACTTCTGATGGTTATGCCAATAGTATTCGATCAGCCAATCTCGCCGGGGATGTTATTTTCTATCTCAACAAGATTGCTGCAGAACCGCTTGAGGATAAAGAACTTTTGGACGTGTTAAATGATGTAAAAAGAAAAGCGAAAATCATTATCAATAAATGTCAGGAATTGGAAAAAAGTTATACCGATATACTCAATAATTTGAGAAATACAAAAGAACTATCCAATGATTTACAAGCAGAAATCAAAAATAAAATAAAAAAATCAAAAGAACAAATGCATAAGCGAAGTTTAGTTGGATCTGCTGTCATAATTGGCGGATTAACCACACTATTATCCTTAGCGACTCCTTCGGTTAATAGGGCTAGGATTAGAACACTTCCACAAATATTTAATCTAGCTGCTGCAGCTGGTGGAGTAGCTATGACTTCGATATTGGAAAATTTAAATACGGCATCCCAACATACTATCGAAGAAAATTCTAAAATCTTAAAAGATATTGAAGCAATCAACACCACAATAGACTCAATTGTTAAAGTGACTCAAGTATATCGTGATTTTTGGGCGAAGATATTGAAAAATCTTGGGAATACTAAAGAAAATATTACCGAGTCGAACAAAACTGTTGCTGAAGGATATATAAACGGATGGGAAAAAATCAAAAATACTTTCGATGATTATTGTGAGATGCTTAATAAATGTTTAGAACACTAAAAATATTTCTGTTATACAATTTTTGAATATTCGTTTCTATTTTCAATTTTTTAATCTAATTAGAGATATTATCCGCACACAATTCGCTATTTCTAGATAAGTTGTAAAGTTCCGAAACAGCTTGACTGTTTTCTAGAATAGGATTCCAATAATTTTCTATAATAAATTCGCACCATTAAGGAAAGTATCCTAGGTCGTACTCGTCATAACTTCGACTTTTATAAGAAAGTACTATATTCCGAAAAATTTTTTAAATAAGCTGAGTTCCATCTAATAATTCCAGGATGAAGGTTACGATTCATCAGTTTATTTTAAAAATAACCAATAACATTGATATGTTGGTGAAACCAATATAAACAAGCAAATATGTAAAAAACTTTGTATGCTGTCCAAATGATTTAATTGAAATAGAATGTGCCTGTGCCATTAAATGAAGGATTTGGTTTTCAATAGTTTTAAACCTTTGTAATCTAGTTTTATCGAGCAATCGATATATTTTTAAAAACGCGTCGTTGAATATATCTTCATTTGTGTCGTTTGGATTTTAAAAAATGTAATAATGAGAGGATCTTGAATAAAAAAAATTTATATTTGATAAAATTCATATTTCCAGCTAGTAATATGTTATACAATGTCACATATGGTTATATAACTTCATGTGATACTTTTTGTCATATTCAAAAATAAGAAGTTGACTTCCATGTCGAGGAAAATTTTTTTTGAAAAAATCATGGCAAGGGAAACGGATGACAGGTAATCACCTGGCTGAGTTAGACAAGAATAGGTGAGGTGTTTGTTATCAGCATTCGAATTAGAAGTGTTATCCAGACAGATATATCACTCAAGTCTTACCATATTGCAAAAAATTTAATCCCGGTTATACGCACTGCGAGGTTGTGTGGGACCCATCCTACAAATGCGACATGATATATAAGATTCCGGATTTTTGGAAATTTAATAAGAAATCTCTTATTTTAATTACTCTTTATAAACTTCTTTATATTTTATATATCCTTTTCTTATTATAGTAATTAATATATAATTGTGTCTTGAGTTTTCATGACCAATTATTATTTTTTTGTTGGACTGCCTATTAATTATCACCTTGATATATACCAGAACTCTAATTATACTCTTAGAATACCCCTTCAACACTTTTGTTCCTATTATCATCCCCTTCAACAAGAATTTTCTCTTCAATTTTGGATATTTTGTTTAATTCTTGAGAATATTGGCATAGTATCATTAAATCAAATTACCTGTTTATTATTTCAAGAGATTATCCAACTTAACTTTGATAAAATATATCACACATGACTGAGATAAAGAGTCATATAATTATTAAACACATTTTTATTTGACCAAGTTAATACTAAAGAAGAATAACTTGAATTAATTGAATATTTATTCTAATAATTTATATAACAAGACTTTACATTACAACCACAATCAAGAACCCCTTCTAACACCAGTGACATTGATGGATATTATTCTGAAACTAAAAACTCAGAAGAATTACTAATATCATCTTTACAAATAATATTAAATAGTGATTCAAAAGAAAGTAACAGCATCTACTTAACTTCAACTAAAAGCAGATCAGATACTAAAGAAGAAAACATAATAGCACAAAATAATAATTAAGATTTAGCTGGACTTATTACAGCTCTTGAAACTTTAACCTAAAGAATGACTGAGCAAAACAACTAACCAACTGAGAAAATTATAATTTCTATTAGGAAATACTGAGAAAATGATCAAGATCCAACCGAATGGCACAAAGAATTCAATATTATCATTCAAGCAAATGGAATTATCATCACCAGGAAAATACAACTTGTGAGAGGATATCTAGAAGATGCTACTGCCTTGTGATATGATGAAAGGAATCAAGATGATGCTACTAGACTAATAGTATAGGATGATAATAATAATCAAGATCACAGCTTCTGTCATCAATTTGCCACTTATTTTAGAACAAGAAAAAGAATTGACTAATAACAAGATGAAATTGAAATCTTACAACAGATCAGCACTGTGAAAAAATATATAGACAAATTTATCAATCTACTTTATAAAATAGATCCAGATAATGAATATCTAGAAGAATATAAGATCTGAATTTATAAAAGAGGTCTCAAATCAGAAATCCAAAAATGGGTACAGATCTCTGTCAATAGAACTTTTCTAAATATAGTTCAAGTAGTAAAGAATATAAAAAAAGCTGATATAGATATGCCAACTTGAGGGTATTATCAATCTTAAATTCAGAATAATTTAATATTAAATACTATTCTGATAGCTCTATAAGATCTCAACCAGCAGATAAAAAGTATTAAAACTGATAAAAAATCAAATTATAATAGAAATAACTCAAATTATTGATCTAATAATCAAAATTCTAAATCAGTTTCAACCTGCTATAATTGTGATAAGCCAGGATATATTCATCCTAACTGTTCTTAGCTATAATCATACAGAAATAATTAAAATAACTTTGAAAATAATTGCTCAAGACCAAATGGAAATAATCAGTAACAAAATAATATATTGCCAAAATAGATAAATGCTAACAATAATCAAAATATTAGTAATAGTAAAAATGTATTATTAGCTCAAATTCAAGCTCTTACTAATAGTATTCAGATATTAACTACCAAACCTGACAATATAAATTTGCTACTTGGTACACATAAATACTTGATTACTAAAAGAAAGACTAAAAATTCAAGAACTATTTCTTATAGAATCAGACCTATAGGTTGATCCTGTAAAGAAATGATTGATGAAAATGAAGAATCAAATGATAATAAAGAAGATGAACAAGAGAAAACTTCTGAAATTATTCTTGATCAAGATATGAATAATGCTAGACCATCCAAGATAATTCAAGAAGAACTCATCAAAAAGATTATTTGCAAAAAGAAAAGCAAAATTACATTATTTATACTTGCTACTATGGCAGAACTCTATAACATTCTAGAAGATTTGGCCTAATAAAAAGCAAATATTACTGTTGCTTAACTTATTCAGACATCATCATCTCAAAGAACTCAGTTATCAAAAGAAATGCATCAAGCTACTATACTCAAATTCAAGAGAAAAAGAAGAGTATTGCTTGAACAAAAACTCAAAATTATATCTGTCTGATGTGAAGCAAAAGTTAGAAAGAATATTATTGATTTAATTATTAATATTAATGCCTCTGAATATGTTACTACTCACAATTTTATCAAAGATCTAGGATTGAAAATTTAATGAAATTCAAATATCTCTATGTCTGATATAAATGAAGTATCTAAACAGTCTCTTAGAGCTATTGATAATCTACTATTGAACATTGATAGAATCATAATTCCTACTGAAATAGATATTACTAAAGCAAAAATCTATTCAGTTATTGTTAGAATGGACTTTTTAAACAAAATTAAAGCAAATATTAATATCAAAAAAGAATTATTAATCTTTGAATACAATGATCAGAAAGAAAAAGTATTAATAAAGTTTATTCATGGTAATAGAGAAGAATTAATCTTTGATAAAACAAGTTTTGAAGAAGATAAATCTGAAGAAGATTTTGAAAGTGAGTTTGAAAAATAGTACTTGAAAAAGAAAATATTTCTCATGTGACAATATGATAATTAGAATATTGTGATATCTAGATAACTTAATAATACAGATAATGATAGTATTAAAATAATTATAAATAAAGTCTGAACTTCTATTAAAACTCCTAATCAAAACTTAAGAGATATTGACTTTGGAAATATTCCTTTTCAAATTATCTGAAGTATTAAAAGAAGTTATGAAGTACAGATCTATCAAGAAGAAATTAAAATCAGATAGAAGAAATATACCTAGGAAAATTATAACTGGCTGAATGAAAAATTTTTACAAGATTATAATTGGGATAACCAATAGTTATTTAACTGGAGAGAATCCAATAGTAAATAATGATATTATAGAAATCTTTTTATCTTTAATTACAAATGTAATTAATATTATAGTAAACTTGTTGATTGGATTACTATCAAGCTTCATAAATCCTTTCATGCTAAATTGAAATTAACTCAAGACTGGACTGATGAAGTTGAACAAGAATTCTTTATTATCAAAAAAGTAAAAAGAAATTTTAACTTATATTAACTCACTTCACAATGAATTCATCCCAACTCTCAGATTGAAAGATGTAGAGAATGTGAAAAATATATTAACTGGTATTATGCTAGAATATATTTTAAAATGAATGGAAAAAAAATAACTGTCTATAACAACTATATTAGAGAAAAATAACTGAATCTTTCTACTTGCTTACAATGTGAAAAATAAAATGAACCTAGAGAAATGTATATTATTGGAAGCTATAAGAAAAAGTACTTTTGTATATATGAATATCAATGTGTTTATTGGTTTAATTATGAAGAATAGAGAAAGAATATTAGAATAATTAATAAGCTCAGAGAACAAGAAATATTATTAAAAGTATATAAAGAATATGATAAAATTGGCAAAGTAATTTTATCTTGCTTTATGTATGAAGATAATTTTATTTATAAAATTATATATAAGAGTTTTGTAAAAGCCTCTGCTATAGAAATATTCTAATATATTTATCAATAACTCAGTTCTAATTGAAGACAATAGCTTGTTCACTTGGATTATATTAATATAAAACTCTATCAAGAATGTCTAATTTCTTGTGATAATGATAAATATAATGATTATGTATAATCTGAATCTTTAACTAAAATTGATAAAGAAAAATATCCTATAACTTTGGAATCAATTTCAGAAGAACCAGTAACTGATAAGATTATTGAAAAAATTAGCTTCATTTCTATTTTAACTTAATCTTCTCAACTCAAATTAATCAAAATTCAAGAAAGATTTGATATTATTTATCAAATACTTAATGAACTCATCTAATAATTTAATGAATATTTGAAGAAATCTCTAACTATATAAAATGATAGATACTATATAATCAAAGTTTATAATGA